AAGTTTGCTGGCAGCTGGAAGTTTGCTGGGGCCCCTCAGGCTGTGGCTCTCAACAGCTCATAACCCACTTGAATCAAATTGTGAAATATGATATATCAAGAACTATGTAATGTTTTGAACAGCCAACAATAAAAAATTAAAAAAAAAATGTTATATTGGGACAAATGCTGGAGAGTGATATTGGTCAAATTTTATTGTTATATTATATGCATGTATAAATATGCAACAACAAATCCTGCCGTGATGTACTATCATAATGCACCAACCAAAAATGTGGGAAGAAAAAGAGTGAAACATAAACACCTCCCCTCCCACCAAAAGATGTCGTTTCACAGTCTACTGGCTTGCATAGTTTCTCATAAAAGTCTGCCATTATTCTTATCTTTGTTCTTTCCACTGCACATTCATCTCTTTGCTCGGCAGCTTTTTAGAATTTTCTCTTCATCATGGGTTTTCTGTTATTTGTTTATGAAGAGGCATCATGCAGTATTTTTGAATTTATTCTGATTGAGTTGAATTTTTTGGATAATATTGAGTTTATACTTTTTACCTAATTTAAAAAATGTTCAGCTATTATTTCTTCAAATATCCTGAACCCCCCTTTTCTGTGACTAATTGCAGATATGTTGCATAGCTTGATATTGTTCCATAGTTGCTGAGACTCTTCATTTCATTTTTCTTTTCCCTGGTGCTTCATTCTGAATACATTCTCTTCTGTGTTCAGATTCAATAACTTTTACTTTTGTATGATCAATTATAAATCCCATGAAATGAAGTTTGCCATATCTAGAAGTTCCATTTGGTTCTTTTGAACAATTTCCTTTTCTTTACTCATTAAACCAAAGTTTTCTTTTACATCTTTTAGCATGTCGAACACATTCATAATAACGACTCTAGAATTCTTCTGTTAATTTCATCTTCTGTGTCTTTCTCATTGATTGCTTATCTTATGCCTTTTTCTCCTGCTTTTTGATGTCTATCGATTTTTACCAACTATCAGATGATTTGAATTTTACATTGTTGAATTCTCAAATTATGTTTATTACTTTAAAAAGCACTGAACTTTTCTATGACAGGCTGTCACTTACAAGTTCATTTCATTATTTTAAGAGTTATTTTAGGGAAGGTCTAGAATATCATGTATTATAGGGCTATTTCTGCCCCAGATGTAAGCCACTGACCTCTGGAGTTGCTACCAATTGATTTTACATTTACTGAAGTCTTTTTACTCTTGTTGGAGGGGACCTAAATGTTTACTAACCTTTTTAAAAATTGTAAATTAGTTACAACTTCCCAATACCTTTTCTCCTTCCTATCCTTGCAGTTTCATGGAGTTTCACCCTATGCCTACACAAGCAAGTTCAGCCTTCCTATGCAGATTTCTGAAACTCTTTTATATAGATTCCTTCACTTTGGAACCCTAACCTGAAAATTCTAGCCTCTTTAGCCTCCCTGAACTCGATTTCTGCCTCCTTAACTTAGTGAGACCCCCAGATCTGTCTGGAGTTCCTCTCCCTGGGATCTAGTCTGGATATTGCCTCCAGGTACTGATAGGGCTCCCCAGCTGCCACGCTGCTCAGCTGGTCCACTGGTCCCTGGGGACAAGTGGCAGCAGAGCAGTGGTGGAGTGGTGGAACAACAACTTGGGCGGGCTGGACAACAGGCAACAAGCATGGGCCGAGGCTGCACGGACCCTGCCATGCCTGCTTGGGCATAAGAAGAACAGACCAACACTACCGGCGAGCCAAGGTACATTGACCTGCCGTCCTAGCACAGACACCAGCTGCACGTGGTCTTGCAGCTCCAGATCCAGCTCTTCCACCCAAGCATGCGCAATTCATGGACCTCAACCTTCAGCTTCCTGAAAAGTGTTGAGAAAATGGAAGCAAGGCAAATCCATTGGGATTCAAAGCTAACCAATAGCATTAGTACATTTCCAAGTGTTAATTAGCATAATTTTGGACCAGTAGGGTTATACCTTTTCAAGCTCTGATTAGCATAAATTTGGACCAATAGCATTGGAGCAAGTGCTATATAAACCCCTAGACTAACACACTGAAACTGTGATCCCTTTAGGTTCACTTTCGTGCTGTTGGAGTTTGGTTTCTGTGCACATTTGAATTGCTCATCCTGGTCTCTCAGGACTTCATATTCTGAATTCAAGAGACAAGAACTCAGAAGAAATTGCGGTGCTGGGGTTTGTTGCAACATTGAAAGACCCAATCCATCATTGAGAGCTGCAGCGTGCTTTATGGCTGCAGAGGCTTGTAACTTAGGCAGACCCATGTCACCTGCCGGCAGAAGAGGAGGATGAGTTTGCCTCAAAACTCCGTTTTCAGCAGGAAGCCTGGGCTGGGGTAAGACATCTGTTTCTTTCAGTGATCACAGTTCTGAACTCCCTGTTGTTCAGTGTGTCTGAAAATAATTGGGTCTTATGTTTTATTTAATTTTCTAGAGGTTTGTGGTGGGTGTGTATATTCAAAGTCTTTAGTTTCTCATGGTTGGAGTGAGAAGTTTATCTTGTTTACTTGTTCAAAAGACACTTTCTCAGTGAGCGCTCTAATGGCAATGTTCTTTAGACTTCCAACATCCCTCCCCCCAATCAGCACTCCATATTCCTTTTACCCAACTCATTTTCTCCATAAGAGTTTCTCACTCTATAATGAACTACAAAATATTTGAACTTACTGTTTTCCTCTCTCCTGCCAGCCACTTATATTAGAATGAAGATAGATTTAAAAAAAAATATATTGACTTTGCTCATTGGTGCATCCCCAGTATTCAGAATGATGTTTGGAATATACTAGGTCATTGGTAATGTTCAGTGAATTCAAAGATGTGAATTTCTATGCTTATCCACAGGGAACCTGCATTAAAACTTTTAAGGAAGAGAAATCAAGTAAGACAAACAAATACAAATCAACAGTCACTGCAATCAAACAATTTCAGGAAAGAAATCAACAGATGAATTTCAAGATCCTCAAGACCAAGTCTAGTTAAGTGCTGAAATGAATAGCGTATTGCCATTGATGAAGTCTCTGTTGGGGGTGTGAGCTTGGAGGAGATATCAGGAGCCAGGTTGTTAAGCACTGTGAGGTTTAGTCATCTGGGGAAAAGCAGGAGGATCATTCTGAACTGGCTCTTCTCTTTTTGCCTCTCCTAACCTCCCACACTTCCTGATCTCTGAACTGTTGACCATTAGGGAGTATCTTTTCCGTTAGAGGACAGAGACAATCAGGGCAATTAGTGGTGGTTACAATGAAGGGACAGTAAAGTTAGGAAAAGAACAAGAACAAGGTCACTGGGGATCTATATTAGTTTGTTGCTGCTATAACAGTCATCTATAGACTTAGGGGCTTAATGCAACACAAATTTATTATCTTAACATTATGGAAGTTAGAAGTCTGAAATGGGTATTAGAATCAAGTCTTCAGTCACCAGGGTGTTATGTGTCTTCTGAAGTCTTATAGGAGAGAATTCATTTCTTTGCCTTTCTAGCTTCTAGAAGTTTGCCACATTCTTTGCCTCATCACATCCAGCCAGCAATTACACCACTCCAATCTCTGCCTCCATTATCACCTTTCCTTCTCTGGCCCCCCTGTGTCCCCTTTCCCATGTAAGAATTCTTCTGAATAGCTTGAGCTGTGCCCCCCTCCCCACAATAATCCAGTGTAATCTCCCCATTTTAGGATCCTTAATTTAAACATGTTTACAAAGTGTCATTCCCATGTAAAGCAACTTATTCATGGGTTCTGGGTATTAGAATGGATGGAAGTGGAGCAGGGGACATTCTGCTTACCACAGACAGACATCTGTTTAAAAGACGAAATGTGGAATGTGAAGAGAGACAAGAAGAGGAGAACACATGTGACTCAAATGAATGAGGTCCAAGAATATGGTAATTTAAAGACAAATATAAATATTATTTGTGTTGCATCACTTGTCTGTGACGTTCTGAGCTGGTATAGCTATTAAGAGACAATGCTATTTATAATAATAATAAGGCTGTCATATAGATGGACATAGGTATAGACTGCATGTTCACCTCCTTCCCACACAATTCTGATGTTGAAACACTAACCCCTGATGGGATAGTATTAGGAAGTGTGTAAGAGTCTGTAAACAAGTCTGGATGGTGCCTGGCATTTTGCCAGAGGGAGTGGTTTGTGAAGTAATGCCAGGGAGCCATTAAGTGTGGAGATTCCTTATTGGTTGACTGATGTATCTAGTTTATGCTAATTAGATAAGCTGAGTGGAATGTATAAATACCGCTCCTGTCCTGCAATATATGGCTTCCACTCCTGCTGTATCAATCTACACAAGTTGCTCTTCACCCCCCCCCCACCCCCCTCCACCCCGGTTATTTTGCCCAGCCAGCCGGGCTGCGGCAGACGTGGGGACTTTGTGATGTAATTATATCATAAGGGTGGAGACTTTACTATGGGACTAGTGCCCTTGGAGGCATGAGAGCAAGCTTGGTTACCTTCCTTCTGCTCCGCCCCCACCACCTGCCACGTGAGAACATGCTAAGATGACAGCCATCTGAGAACCAAGAAGTAAACTCTCAGAACCTGAATCTACCTAAAACCTTAATCTTAGACTTTCCAATGTCCCAAACTGAGGAAATAAACATCTGTTGGTTAAGTCATTTGTTATGGCAGCCCAAACTGACAAAGACAGTATATAATCTCATTTAGTTAAGATTTGATCCAGGTCTATGGGATGCAGCTAATTACTTCACTAGTTTTAATGCCTTCATATGAAGAGAACAGGTCTACATTCTTATTATTCTTGATGACTCTTATCATGTTACTGAATGCTATTAGGTATCTACAATAATCTGGCTTCAAAGCATCAACATTTCAGTACAAATCATGCTAAAACCAGAAGGTCTTTTAAATTGGTGTATGCAATTAGAGCATATAATGAATTTAAAGGAAACTTCAGAGCATATGGCATTCTGAAGTCTTCAAGTGCAGTTTGATGGAACCACAGTGAAAATGAAGAGGAGGTATGATTTTAAAGAAAGCTGTTGGACTACAGTGTTGCAAATAAAATCTAAGGAGGCACTTTGCAATTCAGTTTTCTGTTTCTATTTTTTCCTAGTATTTTATTGCTGCCTCTCATTCCCCAAAAATATAAATGTTCCTTGCCAATTTAACATAATAAATTCTAATTCCATCAGGTTCTTTCCAAGAAACTGACATTCACCTCTCCTGGCATACTGGAAAGATGGAGTGTCACAGCTTAGCTTAGTGAGGGGGACAGGTTGGGCAGTGCCCATGAAAATTATCCCTCATCACGTTCATAAATAGTAGTGTTTGAATAAGATGACCTCAGGGTCCTTCCAGCCCTACAGTCTATGTCCCTATGGGATTTTGCCTGACTCTGGTTGAGACTCATCAAATGTGATCTTCCAGTCCACCTTCAAGTGTTTGGAAGCATCCCACTTCTCTCAGCCATACAGATTGAAAGGGGAATGGTATTCTCCAGGGCTTTTGTGTTGTATTCTTGGTTGGCTGACCATTAACCAAACAGGGTTGCTGCCTCTGGCAGCTGTCATCGTAAACCCTGGGTTATGGAAGGTCTGATTCTCCCTAGATGCCCTGGGAAGGGGGTTGGGGTAAGAGGGGATTATTTCCAAGAGAACAGCACCAGAGACCTGCAACCACAGTGATGCTCCAGTTTGGAGTTATTAAGCCCTTGCTTTTCCATGAAATGAGAGGACCAGCAACAAAGACAGCACTTGTGAGGGCGATGGGTTTAGAATCTAAAGTCCTGTTGCAGACCTTGAGCACTTTAAGATTCCTGGGTAATTCATAAGTACCTAAATATCGCTGACCCTCCCTTTCCTTGCCCCTAAGTCTGTCAGGAGCCAGGACCTGAATAGGCTTTCCTGTTGCAGGTGGGGGACACGGAGTTCCAGCCGCTTCTCAGCGCTAAAGAGCTACAGAGACCAATGTGAGGGCGCAGCAGTTCTCCGGAGCAGCCCACGTCCTTCCCGGGCAGGTGTTCCCCGGCAGTGCCGCGGATTCCCAGCTCCATCCTTCCATGGCTCCTCCCCAGTCGTTCCAATGAGCAGCGGGCGCGGGAAGCTGGAGCCCGCCCCAGGCGCAGCCGCGCGCCTCCCTCCACCTCCCTGCCGGTTCTTTTCACCCTGAGCGCCGCTCCAGCCCGGAGGCGCCCCGTCTCCTGCCCAGCCATGGGGAGCCCTACGCTTCTTTTTCTGCTTTCAGTGGTGCTAATCGCGATGGACAGCGAGGCCGGTGAGTGAGGTTCTCGGGCGGGGATGCCCTCAGAAGGGACCGTCCGCGCAGGGTACAAGTGTCCCTTGCTTTGGGGATGGATGCCGAAGGAATTGAAAGCAGAGAACTTGGGGCACCTAGCGTAGGGTGCTGGGTGCCCCGTTGTGCGGTGGCGGCGAGTTATGGAGGAGGTCCTAGGTGGGCAAGGCTAAGCCTCAGGAGTAGCCGCCTGGATGAGTCGCAGGGCCCTTTACAAACCTGCAGGTGGGTGAGAGGGGAGGTGGGCTCAGCCAGCGAAATCGGTGTCTTTTTCCAACGGTGTCACAGCAGGGAAAAGGAGCTCTCTCCACCCTGGGGGTGCCGCGGGCACTTTTGCTTCTGGGCTCATCCTTCTCCTCAATGTTCGGGCTGGGTGGGATTCACTTTCTGGCCCTGATCTCCCGTTTACCTGCGCCCTAGTGTGACAGGCAACAAATGTAGCTTTTTGGAGGTCAGGACCTCGTGAAGAGCCGCTTCACGCCAAAAAAAAAACAGCCCAGGGAAAAGGGTGATGGGGCCTGAAGTGCCTTAGGAGTGCATTTCTTGCTGTACTTGTTGATGTCTCTTAGGTGTAGGCAGACCCAACGCTCAGATGAGCTGAGTGGAGTGTCCAGGGTGGCAGAGAAATGCGTTGTTCCCCAAGGGTCAAACTAGTGGCTGATGATGTAGTCAGCTGTAGGAGATGTTCAGCATTTATGAAACCATCTGCCCTGTGGGATTGTTAATGCCTGATTGTCCACCATGAATGAAAGGCAGATTTAGTCATTTTAATTTACAGCGTCAAGGTACTGTTGACAGCTTGGAGGAGGTGTCACTTTACAACAGTTGTTTTTCTCCTAGGAAGGTTCTAACCCTCAGAATTTGTTGTTAACATGGTCCAGTATCTCTGCTGTGGCTTATCTGCTTGCACTCTTCTGAAACAGGATTTAAAGTTATTTGTCTTTTGTTTTTTGTTTTTTTTTTTTAAACAAAACAGTGATTTCCAACATAACCTACTATGAAGGCGTCTTTATTGTCTGTTTTAGAACAGCATGTAATCATTGTACTTAATGTATTGACTGAGAAAGCTATGGTGAATTTAATATATAAATAAATGTATTAAGTACATTTCTTATGCAATTACAGCAAGCCCCCATGTAGATAAAAGTAAGGTTTGAGACCAGTCTGCAGATAGTATGTAGAATCCTTATGCATTTTTGTTTCCCAGATTGAGAATCACCAGGACAAAATACTGTTCAAGTTCTGACTCCTGTGATGGGTAATCTTGGAGGGTTGACTGCAACCCTAATTGAGATCCTTCTGGAAAGAGCTACTGGAAGAGGTAGCAAAAGAATTAATGCTTTATGAGCACGTGGTATACTGTGTGCCAAGCAGCTTTGTGCTCATTTAATCCTTAAATCTTCCTCTTAGGATCACTTATTTACTAGCCTTATTGTACTTATTGTATAGATATTAAAACTGAGGTCCAAAGAGAGGAATTAACTCTCCCAAGATCACATTAAGTAGGTGATCTAACCAAAACTCTAACCCAGGTGGCCTGGTGACTTAGCCTGTGTTCCCATGGCAGCAGTTGCTGACATCGACTGGTCTGAATTTCATAGTTTTGTTCTTGAGTTAAGCCAGATAGCTGGATGAAATGTGAGTAGGTGGTGGAGAAGCTGCTATCCATTGATAAGTGATATTTACTCAGTATTTTATTTTTGGTCTTTTTATACTCCAGACTTTAAAAATCAAATGTGGAATAACTATATGGAAAGCACTACCTCAAAGGGACACCAGTCAGAACTGGGACGTTGTCCCTTCCCAAGAAGAGTAATCTGCACAGGAGCCTTTTGTGGTCCACTTCCATGGCATAGCTGTGTACAGTTGTCACCAGAGTAGGACTGGCTGGGCCTTCTCCACATGGTGCAGACACTTCTAGTACAGGATTTGGATTATACTTTATAGGAATCGATTGATTTTCCTCTCTGAAACTTAGGTCACTGTAGTAAATGAAGTACAGTTAGGCTTCCTATTGCTTCGCCTTGAGGACTGTCAGTATCTGGCTTATTTTTAACATCAATCATTTTGGAAAGGTAAAAAAAAACACAGGTTCACGGCTTGAATAGAACAATATGAATCACTCTTGCAAATAACTGAAAATTATTTATATCCTGGCTATTAGAGGCATGCTAAAGATATTATGTAGGATCAAAAATTCTAATGTTATTTTAAGATGTGTCTGTACATCTCAAATACTTGGAGCCTAAACTTGTAAGTATTCCTTCTCCAAGGCTTTGGGATTCAACCAGAGCTGAAAGCACCATCCTCATGTCTCTGGGTGCACAAATGTGAGTCGCTTCTTTCTAACAGGGAAACAAGGAGGCACACAGAAAGCCTCCAGCAACAACTCCATGACCCCAGAAAGAGCTGGTTCCCTGGAAGTTCACTGGTGAACCCACATGGGGCTTTGGGGTACTAAGTTCCCCTGGTGTTTTCCTGAAAATGAGGTGAAGGAAGACCTTCCCAAATGACCCCTTACTGCTTTTTATCATGACAAGGTGCTCCCTTGTACCCAAGGGAGCCAGAAACTCTCATGGCTCTTTTTCTTGATCATCTAATGCAGATGAAGCAGAGTGTAACAATACGCGGCAAGCTGCATGTGGTGGAAAGTGCATTCCTGTGGCCTGGCTCTGCAATGGTGAGCAAGAGTGCGCAGATGGAACTGACGAACAGTGTGGTAAGTGCTTCTCAAGACTCAATCGTGAACTTGACCCTGATTGCCAAGTGCAGGTTGTATATCCCTAATCTGAAAACCCCCAAATGCTCTAGAATCTAAAACTTCTTGAGCACAAACACAACACTGTAAGTGGAAAATTCTACACCTGACTTTGTATTGTGGCTCATAGTCAAAATGCAAAGGCACTAAAGATAACTGTATATAATAATCTTCAGATTATACGTATGAAGTGTATATGAAACATAAATGAATTTTGTGTTTAGATTTGGGTTCCACCTCCAAGATCTATTATTATGAATATTATTATGCATATCTATTATTATGTAAATATTCTTAAGATTTTTTAAAAAATCCCAAATCTGAAACACTTCTAGTTCCAAGCATTTCAGATAAAGGATACTCGATTTGTGCTAGATTGTCAAGTGTCCATTCTCGTGGTTTTCAGCATCTTAAAGGGTAGGCAGACATGGTGAATTCTTTGGATTGTTGTAGGCTTTCCCAGGGAGAGCCTGGGATGTGTCTTGAGATTGTCAGAATAAGGTTCGCACCTTCAACTTAGACTTAACCACATACAAAAGTTAGAGTAATCCTGTGGTTTATCTTTAGGAAACCCTTGAAGACCCTGGGACACATAATTTGTTTGGAATATAATCAGTTAGTTCAACTTTCTAAGTTTAGAGACTTTGTTCAATGAAAAAGCCACTTTGCAAATTGACCATCATAAAGAATACTACAAAACCAATAGTCACATCAGCCACTTTGCAAATATCATGCTGAAATGAAGCTCAAGTATTCTGTGTTCAAAGTGCTCAAAGCTCCAGAAGGGTCACCTGAACACCAGTATATGTGGGAAACTTCTTAGTAGGTGACTTATATACATCCTTGTATTGTGATTGTGGAAGGGAAAAAAGTCCTCAGGAAAAAATCAAAAACCCCAAGGTACTTGGTGAGTACCGCATCCCTTTTCTTTACCCTGCCTGCATATTCCTGGTCAGTTACTACAGCTAACTTAACATGAATATTTGATATTAGAATTGGGGAACTAGCTCAGTGGTAGAGTGAGTTTAGCATGTGCAAAGCTCTGAGTTGTGCAAAGCTCTGAGTTGTGCAAAGCTCTGTGTTCAATCCCTAACACCACATGCACAGTAACACAACAACAAAAATATCTCCCCCAAAACAGAATAGCTAGCAACCACATAATATTACAGATAGAAAGAAACTTTTTGGCTTACAGAAATGCTTTGTTCTATGCCCCACCATGCTTTTTAATTTTACCTTAACTCTCTAGGTTTACTTGCTGCCAGTAGGCATACTTAGATGGAAATATTTGAAGGAACCAACAGTTTCTAGATTTTCTTAGATCTTTAGCTGCGCTGGCCACTAGCCACCTATGGGGACTTAAATTTATTAAAATGTACAAAATTTAAATAAAACTCAATTGTATTATATTAGCCGCTTTCTTTTCAGTATTGGGGAGGGAACCCAGGGCCTTGCACATGCTAGGCAAGCGCTCTGTCACCAAGCCATACCCACAGCCCACTTGTGCATTTCAAGTGCCCAGTAGTCACATGTGACTAGTGACATGTGACAGAACAGACACAAAACGTTTCCATTGTCACAGAAAGATTTGCTGGGCAACTGTGTTCTAGCAGGATGGTGTGAAGGATAAACCTTATTAGTTTGCTGGGCAGTTGTCCCTTGGTAAGGGACAAGTATATCTTGGGAAAAAAGGACAAGCAAATTCAGGGTTGACTCCAGTGGCAAATTGGTAATTATTCCTTCTCTAATTTAATACATGATATGAAACCCAAATTTGTTTATTTTTCTCAGTAGCAATGCATTTTTGGGGGGTGGTGCAGTACAGGCTATATGCAAAAAGGGAGTGCTTCAGAGATAGAGGTGTGGAGCCACAGCACAGAAAGAGGAGGAGGCAAGGGAGCTCCTGGGCAGAGGGAACCAGAGGGGGTTGAGTCTCTGGGTCTGAGAACTCAGAAGGGCAGAAGAGGGTTGGGGGTTTTGTTTGGTTGGTTTTTGGGTGACCGGGGATTGAACCCAGGGGCACTTTACCTCTGAGCTACATACCCAGCCCTTTTATTTTTTGAAACAGGGTCTTACTAAGTCCTTGATAAGTTGCTGAGGCTGGCCTCGAACTTGGAATCCTCTTGCCACAGCTTTCCAAGTCCCCTGGGATTACAGGCATATGCCACCACATCCCTTGAGGGTTGGGGATCCTTATATCACTGTAGGGGTGTTCCTGGATGAATAGGGTCTTTGGTGTACATGGCAGAAAAAGAATTTCAGCACACACCAGACAGACAGCAGACGGGTTTATTTAGGAAAGCAGAGGCACATTTAGGGGAGAATGCAGGCTATCTCAGAGTAAAGCAATGAGCACACCTTCAATGGAGAATGCTGGCTCTCCCCAGAGGGAGAGACAACAGCCCTCTGGTCTGGGGTGTTAATATTTATAGAGGTATGGTAATGTGGGGCTGAATAAGAGGTGGAGTCAGGGTAGAATTATACAATTTCAGGCCAATTTTCCCTGTACTTCTATTTTGCTTATGTTATTTTTTTCTGGCAAGGACTCAAGCTAAGGAAGTGGGCTAAGGACTTAGGCTGGGCTGCTCACCATGAAACCCCAATTTAAAAACGGCCACTATCTTGACAAATTCATCTTCCTTTGCACCTCTTCTTGAACACCACCCCTGGTTGCAGAGGAAGCATGCCGTGGACATCCACAAGCCTGGCAGTGTGACGATGGGAGGTGCATTTCTGTCAGTTGGCTTTGTGATGGTGCTGGGGACTGCTTGGATGGCTCCGATGAGGTTGATTGTGGTGGGTAGAACACATTTTTAATGTTCTCTCATCTTCTCTGTTCATTAGCAGTATTTATCGATATAGTATTAAATGAAATAAAGAAGTCGTTAAACATCTGTATGCCATATGTGCTAAATATAGATATTGTCTCTGGTATTATAAGAGAGTTTTTAACCTGAGTCTCTCTATTTTTTTTCAAAATGAAAGTGATTATGAGCTTCATTGACATTTTGAAAACTTCTTTGGGGTGAAACTTCAGTTGTACAAAATTGTGACTGTGTCTCCAATGGTTGGCGTCTCTTTTAGTTCTCAGAGTTCTGTAGACCAAGTCCCATGAGCAACCCATAGGTACAGTGGAGAAGCAGATCCATAGAACACTGGTTCGGCCTCACCAAGCCAACTCCTGCCTTTCAGACGTGAAGGTGACAGCATGTCCAGACCATAAAGTCCAGTGTCCAGGAAAGTCTCGGTGCCTGGATGCTGGGGAACTCTGCGATCTCCATCAGGACTGTGCAGAAGGGTCCGACAGAGCACACTGCCCCCAGAGCCATTGTCTGGCTGGGCAGTGGCAGTGCCAGAACAAGGTGTGTGTGATGGACAGCTGGAGGTGCGATGGCATCGACCAGTGTGGCGACTCCTCAGATGAGCACGTCTGTGGTGAGCCTTGCTTCCCCACGTGTGTCTCAAGGACAGATGTACTATGTGGGTTGCTTTATGCAAATTGCATTTTAATCCCTACAACTGAGGCTGCATCCTATATCTAAAAACAGGATGCTTCTTCCTAGCAGTAACCAACATGTAGTTATCTGCGGAAATGTAAAACAGTGCTTGAATAGAAACTTTTGTGAGGGATGGATGCTCTGAGCATTGCCTGGAATCTTCCCACTATTCAGTTATGGCCCAACCCATGGAAAGCTGACAGATGACTCTCAGCCTTGTGCAGCCAATGTAGGAGGGAAAAATTCCTCCTTAAGGGTGGTAAATCCCCAAAGACAAGTACTACATTTCTCTTCTGGACCTCACATACACATTGTAGTTGTTCCTGACTTCTTGGTGAACCACAATCCCAGTTAATTTTTTTTCTAGCATTAAACCTATAATATCTATATATCTATTATACTCTAATATCTAATATATTCTAATATTTTTATGATAAAGTATAAATCAATCTCATAAATAGAATACTTCTTTTAGGTCAAGTGTTGACCAACTCTAACACTACTTCATTTGTAACTATTTAAAACTAGGATAATCAGTTTAATGCTAATTCCATCTACTGCCCAGGTGTCTTAACATCTTCATGATGAAATCTAAAGTTTTAATTCTATTTAAATAGAAAAAAAATTCTATTTGCAAAGATAAAACTTTCTTACCTAGAATTGTCTTAGGTTATAGAAATATTACCCCTTTACCCATGAAAGAATTGTCTGTTTCTACCATTCCCTGTGAGTCTCAATGAAAAAAAAATATGCTTCACTTCCTACACAGCTTCCTGTCCAGAAGGCCTGGTTGGATGTGATGAAGGGAGATGCATCCCAGAATCTCTGATGTGTGATGGGGAAGCAGACTGTGCAGATGGCACCGATGAACCCACCACATGTGGTAAGAAACCAGTTGCTTAGCTTAAGGTGGGAGGTGGGAAATAGGCTTAAACAGCGGACCTGCGATAGTTACCATGGAGGTCTACTCTTTGAGAGGCTGCTTGGACTAAATCTCACACGTATCAAGGATGGATCCTTTTATCAGTTATAGCCCCTGGCTTTGGTCTTTCAAGTGTGAGCATATATTATCTAAGCTATCAAACTTTGAGGGCTAATTCTCATTTTGTAGCTTTAGCTAAACACTTCTAACTGTATTGCTTTTGAAATTCTGGTAGAAAGCCAAGATTATGTCTTTGAATGTCTGTAGCTTTGTTATGAGAACAAGGCCCACACATTCAATTTAGGCTTAAATATCTATAGTGGTGTTCTCAAACCAGACTGATGCAGAGATTCTGCTACAAGGACCCCTCCCTGGAAGACCCCAGGGCACACAACTACTTGTATATAATCAACTAGTCCAGTTTTTTTTTATGCTTAGGGATTTTTTAAGACTCAAGTCAACTTTGCAAATTGAGTACAAAGAAAATGACAAACCTGTAGAAGACAAGTTAACCATTTGGCACATGTCTTGCTGATTGAGAACCAGATCATTTTGTTTAAGACAAAAACATAAAATTCTCTAAGGATTTAATGGAGACTGGACTCCTGTGGCTACTGAGAAGCAGCTTTGACTTGAGAACAAGTCCTGGTTCTCACCACAAGAATCACTGTGGTTCAGGTTCCCAGGGAAAGGAGAATGTGGGAGTCTCTCTCCAAGTCTTTTTGTCATCTGTCTCCTAGTTACTTCCCAAATATGGTCTTACATATATATGACAAAACCTCTTTAGTACTGTAAAATTCTGCCAAACAAATTTTGTACTAAAGGAAAATGGATTAGAGATGTTAAAGGCGGGGGAGAAGTTCAGTAGATTAGACAATGGGTAATGGAAGGAAAGGAGGGAGAATAGGAACAGGAAAGTGGAATGAATCTGACACGATTTTCCTATACACATATATGAAAACGTCACAGTGGGTCCCACCAAAATGTACATCTACAAGAATGGGGTCCTAACTCGAATGAGATCTAGTCCATGCTTGCATAATTGTATCAAAATGAGTTCTACTATCATGTATAACTAAAAAGAACCAATAAATTTTAAAAGATGCTAAAAGCATAAACAGTGGGACAAAGTATAGGCTTCTGGTTGTACATGGATGATAATTCAATAGGATTCATAAGCCAGTATATCACTTCCTGAGGTAGGGGTCTCACGGACTCATGCATTCCAAAAAATCATTGATAAGAGGTCTCTGGTTCCCTGAGCAAGAATAATAAATAACACCAGCACTTGAAATCATTCACACTGTTGGCCTGGAAAGAAATTCCTGCTCCCTGGCTCCTGGGATTCCTATCTTTTGCTCTTCCACACTCCTCTCTGAAGGGTCCATGTTCCTAGGCCAGAGGGCAGGGTCAGAGGGCAGGGTCAAAGGTCAGTCACAACTGGTCATCACTTGCTCAACCAGGCCTAGAAGGTATGTGCACAACACAGTTTATAAATATTGGTTCAGCATTCAACTGTTTGAACTACTTCCTGTCTCCACCAGGTAAAAACTGCTCTGTGATGAACGGTGGCTGTGAAGGCCAGTGCAGTGACACACACTGGGGTGTCCGGTGTTCCTGCAGGGCAGGATGGTGGTTGCAGCCCGACGGGCAGAGCTGTGCAGGTCAGAACTGGTTTGAATCAACTTTTTAAAACATTTTTTTAATGCAGTAAAATGCATTTAATGTAAATTTTGCCATTTTAACCATTCTTAAATGTACCATGTGATTTTCAAACATATGCTGTTGTATACGTGCACCATGTTGTGCAACCATTACCATCTCGGATTTCCTGAGCTGCTTATCATCCCCAGTAGAGACCATCCCCGTTAAACAACAACTCCCCTCCCCCTATTCCCTGGTAACTAACTTGTCCATTCTAGATACCTAATTTGTCCATTCTAGATACCTCTCATAGGGAGAATCATATAGTAATTGTGCTTTTGTGTTTGTCTTATCCCGTGGAGCATAATGACTTTAGGGTTCATCCATGTTATAACGTATGTCAATAGCATGCATCAGGATATCTGTCCTTTTTAAGGCTGAATACACATATACTACATATGGTGTCCGACTACTGGTAGATAATCACCAGTAGTTGTTTCTTCCTTTTGACTGTTGCAAAGAATACTGTATGAACGTTGCCGCAGTCTGGCTGGGCACAAAAATCACGAGCCACTCAAGCAGGAACAAACTTTAGTTTTTGAAACTGCCTCCAATGTCCGGTACGCGCCCGGGAAGATTTTTTTATCCACCCACGCGGCCACCTCTCGGAACCGCAGCGAGCACTCCTCCCCGGAACTCCCTCCTACTGTACTTCCCCAACCAATGGAAACTCTCCAGGAGTCCTGTAGCCAGCCTAGGTGAACAGCAGGAATCCAATATCCATATGAATGCAAATCTTAACATAATCATATCATCTCAATGGCTAGCTGGCGTCACCTTTCGACCAAAAATGCCATGCATCATATACTTGGCTCTTAGCAGAACGTGATACGCAAATATCTGTGTGATAATTCCATTTGCTGGGTATATACCAGAAAGTGGACTATAACTGGATCATGTATACTTGTTTGATTTTTTGAGGAGTCCTCAAACTGTTTTTCCACAGTGGATGCACCACCAGTAGTGCACAGGGTTCCAGTTTCTCCACGTTCTTGCCAGTGCTTGTTAATGTCTCTTTTGTGGGAATTGCAGGGCATCTGATGCCAAACAAGAAAGTGTTAAACTTAATGTTCTTTCCCTGTGGAGCTTAGAGGATTTCTGTCACAGAATAAATATGCTTGTCATTTTACAGTCATGCCTAAGGTCCATAGCATGGGTTTCAAGACAGAATCTGAAATTCCAGCCCATTGTATGTTTACCCTTGCTTGTTCCTGCTGGTTGACCTTCTCCAAGTCACTGGAGAAGACTCATTTCTTCTCTTTGTAAATGGGATTATGGTGCCACAATAGCTAAAATAAATTTCATATACCTTCATTATTCAGTAATAATTTAAAAGATTATGACTATTACCCTATAGCACCTGTCTACAAAAATAAAGATAACGCTTTAGGATAAAATGTGATTGGAAGGGTAAAGGATCTATTGTTTTGGTGCTCTGGACTGAGGGATTAATCAGCCCTTCCACCCTAAACCTGGTCAATGATCCCTACTCAATAGTGCCCTCTCTCCATGACTGTACCTTCCTGTAGCTCTACCCACTTGGGAAGGCTACAAGAGAAAAGACTGGTTTATTAGTATTAAATAGTATTTTTTAGAGAGTATAAAGGCTTTTGTATTAGCAATTCATTCATGATTGTTATAACTCTATTAGATTTTCAATTTATTAATGTTAAAATTTAATCATTAAATTCAATTTACTAATTCAGGAGATAATTTAACAGATTAATTCATCATTAGAAATATGAAATCAGCATCTGGTCATGGCTCTTAGAAGTGTCTGGGTTTTGTGCCCCCATCCCCGAGCCCCTGGAGTACCCTTCTTGGGTTTCCAGCCCACTATAGGACTTGGATGGCCCTTGAGCCTGACTGTTGCTTATTCTTCTGGCATGATGGGAAAACATTATTCTACTTTAGGACCCGGTGGGTTTGGAGCAATAACGTTTTTGCATCAATTCTGCCAAGGAACCATTTTCCTTCTTGCTTACAAAATAAAGAAATGAATCTCTCCTGATTTTGTGATTTCAGCTCTAATGGGTCCCAGCCATTAGGCATTGAGATACTATTGCACCATAACTAAATTTCGCCAGTTAGACCTGTGAGGCTTAAGCATTTCCCATGGTGCTAGCAGTGAACTCCAGGATGTAACACTTGTCATTCTCAAATGGTACCTCAGGAACATTGCTAGGATAACAGTATTCTGTAGTCAAACGTTTGTGGTCCCAATGTTGAAATTTCCTAAATTGTATTAATGTAGGTGGGAAATCATTGGTGGCCAGCGTGGACTATTCTAGGGCCTGGAACAATGATTTCCACCAAATGCCCAACCAGGTAGCATCTGGAAAGTGGCTCCAAAGGGCAAAAATACTGCAGAGCTTGTTCCTGGATTGCCTCTAACTTATGACCCTCTGTCATCAGATATAGATGAATGCTCTATGGTGTTCAGTCCTTGTGGCCAGCTATGTCACAATACACCAGGCTCTTACTCCTGTGACTGTATTCAAGGTTACCAACTGAACAATGGGACTGAATGTCGAGTTACAGGTGAGTTTCAATACCAGAAGCAAAGCCTAGCTCCTGTGCTATTCTTAGCAGTAATTGCAGGGGAAAGTGACATAGAGAATTCATTTTTAAGTCTAGTACTAGAGATGACTCCATTATTTCCAAAAAGGAGCTACCATTATACCATTCATTCCCCAACCTGAGTGTCAATTGTATTAACTAACTTGGTTACTCCACAGTCTACTATGGAGTATTCTACAGACCCAACACATAGTCTTGACTTGCCCTGTTCTTTAGAGATAAAACACTAAATTACATTTGACTACTATGTACCAGACTTGGACAGAACTTCTGCCAAATCTGGTACAAGGTGAGAGAAGAGGAACTGAATCTGAAATCCAATAAGGCAGTGAAGTTCTCAAGGTTAGTTTCAATGTATTAGAGTTCAGAGGAGGGAGGGAGCACCAAGGTGACCCACTAGATCTCTAAATACTTAGTCCAGAGTTTAGGAATAGGTAGATTTGGGGCATGAGAGATGGGATAAATCTTTAAAGGGAAATGTGTGAGGCAAAAAGCTTCATCTCTATTGTCTTTTGTTTTCAGATGATGGTATTAAAATTCTTATAGCAAGAGATCAAGAGCTTGGTTTCCTGGATCGAAGAACAGGCAACTATGAGACTCTGATTCCTATAAAATCAAGGCCCATTTCTATTGCATATGACCTTGAGAGAAGCACATATATCTGGGTAGATGAAGTCCTAAATGTGTTTGTCCTTGGGAAACCAAACTCTGTTCCCCTTTACCCAGGTATATATATACATTTTTAAATTTTTTTGTAGTTGTAGATGGACAGAATGCCTTTATTTTATTTGTTTATTTTTTTATATGGTGCTAAGGATTGAACCCAGTGCCTCACACAAAGGAGGCAAGCTCTCTGCCACTGAGCTACAGCTCCAGCCCCCAGGTATACTTTTTGGCATTAAGAGCCTTAACTTCTTAAAGCTACTTGTGTTAGTTAACTTTGCATTATTGTAACAAAATACCTGAGATAATTAGTTTAAAAAGAGGAAAGGTTTATTATGGTTTCCACTTTGGGAGATTTCAGTCTATGGTTAATTGGTCCCATTGCTTTTGGATCTGAGGTGACTCATCATATAGTGAGAGTATGTGGGTGGTGGGGGAAACTATTTACCTCATGGTACCAGGAAGTAAAGGGAGATGAGAAAAGACTAGCATCCCACTATCCCCTCAAGGTTATGCCCCAATGACTTAAACCTCCCACTAGTGCCCACCTCTTACCTGTTTCCATTGCCTTCCAACAGTGCCACAGGCTGGGGACCAAGCCTTTAACACATGGGCCTTTGAGGGACATCCCAGATCCAAACTGTAGCCCTACCCCCTAGTGTAAGAAGTATGTGTATCCATCTGTACCACCACCTGCGAGACACCTGTCATGAAGTCTGGTTTCAGATAAGGCTGCTATGGTTTAAGTCCATAGGAGCATCTTAGAATGTAACTTGCAACATGAATTGGAATGTAGCCTCAGGCCACAGTTAGTCTCAGGGCCCCATCACTAGGTATGTCACCTTGGGCAAGTTCTTAACTCCTTTGATTGCTTTCCATAAGATGAGGGTGCTACTACTTGCCTCACTGGGTAAGTTTGGGAATTAAATTAGACAATGCATGTGAAGAGGGCTTGGTGTAATGCTAGGGATATAGAAATGGTCTGGGGGCAATTCAGAGGTAGCATTTGTAACAACTTGCCTGACACTTGTGCAAGAACTTTTGCCTAAACTCAGGTCACTTACAGGCTCTCAGATTTCTTAGTTAAGCTTCTGCTCTGGTCCTCCTCCTTCCCTGCCACCCCTGCATGTTGGAAGCACCTTGGCTCATCCCTGGTCCTTGATCCTTGCCATCTATTTGCCTCACTGTATAATTCAAAATCAGAAAACGTAGTAACGTGTGTCCAAGTCTCTGCAAGGTAAGACGGGTGGAGAATGTGGGAACATAAAGCTGTCTCCTCTGTCCCCAGAGCTCACAGCGGTGAATAGCATCTCCTTGGACTGGTCCACAGGACAGTTGTATTGGGCTAGCAGCTTTGCAAGGGTCATCTGTGCTGGCTTAAGTGATGGCAGAGGCTATGTCAAAATTTTGGAAAAGGATCTTGTGCCAGAGCAGCTGGTTGTGTTTCCTGAAAAGAAGTAAGTAGTGTTTCTTTGGAAGTATGTCCTAAATCACTGATGACTTAGGATATTTAAGTTAATAAGGGAACATGTCAGTCTTTTTCAACTTGGATTTCATTGGCTCCCCCTAATTCTTAATTTTGAATCCTAAATTGAAGTTTATGGAGCTAGTGTTTTCAAAGCCTAGTGAGTGTAGGAGCAGAAATCTCTAGCGATCATCAGCAATATAATGATGAGAGACCAGTACAAGAAAGCTATGCGAGCCAGGCTGTTCAGAGTTAAGTACACATGTGTGCAAGTGAAGGGGCCCTAACACCATGCACCCCTGTTCTTAGGTACTTGTATTGGGTGAATCGAGGTGGGACAGGCGTGAGGGCTGTTGAGTCTGCAGGCATGGATGGCTCTGACAGGAAGGTGCTCACTGTCCTAACCACAGAGGAGCCTTTAGGACTGACGTTGGACCATGTGACTGGCAGGCTCTACTGGATCAGTGAACACAAAAAGGTACCACACTTAGGTCCAGAGAGAAAGGTAAACTTTTGATGGGAACTTGGTTTGACTCCACAGGTAAGTACAAAATTCTCTTTAAGTTTGCATCTACTCTATGAAGTACCTTCTGGCCACAAAAACTGAGAAGAGCCAGATGCACAGCACCTTTGGGTGGAAGAGACTATATCAACCTGGCTTGGGGGAGAGAGGTGATTTTCTTCAACTCTATAGTCAAACACTATTGGAATTTTCTGGAAGCACTGGTCCTGTTCTGTGTTGTAGCCCGCACACAGGATCTTTTAGGATTGCTGACTACATCCTTGAAAGCATACAGTTCTGGGCTACTTGTGTTTCATACTTAGAAATGCCAAACTAAAAGACCAGTCAAATTTTAGGCCTATTATTTCCTACCTGTGATTTTGGTTAAATTAAAATTTTGGTGCCTCTTTTTGCTCCCATGGCTCCTGCCCACATCCTGCACAGGTGGTGGAAATGGGGTTCCCCTCAGTGGAATGGGCTGGCTGAGAAATAAAAGCTAGGGAAAAAACAGAATGGCTAAAAAAACCCACACAGAACACAGAAAGTAGTTTCAAAAGCAGGGGCAGGATGGGCAAGCCAATTAGACAGATCGAGGTTCTGGCAAAATGCAGCCTGCGCCTGCTTTATTTATATCGGGAGACATCAAAGGCCTTCCACGGAATGTTCTTCTCCAAAAAAAAGGTTAAAGTTAGGCTGTTCAGCTCCTAATGGGTTACACCCATCCCGGAGTTACTATGAGAAACCTGCCTAGCAGAGTGGAGGGAAGGTCACGTGCATTGGGCCACCTAATGCCAGGCCTACCTCTCCCCGGGCTACCACGCCAAGAGAAGGCCCTCATGTATGTCACGGATGGCTTCCCACACATGGCCCTTGCTGAAAAGAGAGAGGATCCCTACTCAATAGGCAGCACACAGTGGAGTTGAAAGGGTTTGGTACAGTGTCAGTTTGGACAGTAAGCTGTGGCTTGGGGCAAAGTGGAACCCTCTCTCCAGCATCCCTGGGGAACTGGAAGTTCTCTGGAAACTGGGTTAAAAATTTCACTGGAGGCCGAAGTGTTTGTATCTGTGGCCCCAGTTTGTACAAGAAGCAATCCAATCTGCTGACTGGCATTAGTCTCCATGAATCCTTCAACGATCTCTTCTCTGTGAAGCTGATGTTACCTAGACATGTTTAATCAGTGTCCAAAAAACTGGTGACACTTAACTTTGTCAGCACTGGTAATGCTACCACGTTCTCATGAGATTCTAATGCTTCCTCCAGTCCATAGAGACAGTGAAAGTGGATGGAAGCGGGAGGTACACCTTTCCTGAGATCTTCCTGGAAGATGAAAACCCAGTAGGACTGGCTGTCTTTGAGAACTCTTTCTTCTGGGCAAATAAGACACAGCTGTTTCATACCTCACCCCACAGCCCAAAGGAGAGAGAGCTGTTACTGGATGCCTCTGTATCTGCTTTCTTGGTCCTCCACAAGTCCCAGCAGCCTAAGGGTAAGTAAATGGCTTGCTGTAGAAATGCTGAGGAATCGGAATGCATAAGAGTGAAACCACCCAATAGTGCTAGATGGTGGTTGTTGGAACTCAGTACTTGGAGGCAGGGAAATGTTCTGGGTGTCCTTCCAGACTTCCTTACATAGGACTTCTAAGGAAGGTGAACCAAACACCAGTATCTATTGGGGAAATCGGTCCAAGTATGTGTCTTGTGCCTGTCCAAAGCATTAGCTAGATTTTTTAAGCCATGAAATGTAGAAAAAAGGATAATAAGTTGTTCACAGAGGGCTGGGATGGCGTACTCACAGCTCTTTGAATAAAACAGAAAATTGAACAAATCCTGGTATCCTCATAATAGGAAAAGTCAACTTAGAGAACGCTTCTTAAATGGATCTGAGAAGCTAACCAAAGTAGAGCCTAGGCCACTCAGGGAGTCTGGAAGTAAGCAAGGCAGACAGTCATGTTGCCTTGACTCCAAGGAGGAGATGCTGCTGGTGGAAGCCTAAGGTCCCAGCCTAAGATAGATAAGTGACTGTCACTATCTGAAAGACCATCAAGAGATCAGAGGAGTTTAAAGGTCAGCACATCCAATTAGAAGGTAACTAGTATATTGAATTCCTCTTAAGACAAAAGTGGCTTAACTGTTCTTCCTTATTAAGTTTTGATCTAGTGTGGATAAGGACATCTGAAACCATCTCACGGGTTCCTGTTTTATAGCAGGCAGACACCCAGCTTGTGCTCCAGGCTCCTGCAGCCACTTATGCCTTCTGTCTCCTGTCCACCCCAAGGGCTATAAGTGTGTTTGTCCTGAAGGAATGTTTCTTTCACCTTCTGGCACATGTAGTGGTAAGTACATTGGGTAAAATGGGCTCAGCTTAAGGAGGCATCCTCCATGGTAGCCTGGAAATAAGGTAGCTTCCATTTCTCAATCAGTTGCTTTTGTCCTTGACAACCTTCTTTGATGACTACTTTTTTATCAAAACAACTTGATTCATTTTTTCCTTTCGATTGTGCTAAAAAATATACAGAATAGAGAACTTAGCATTTTAGTCATTTCTAAGTGGCATGAAGTACAACCATCACCACCGTCCACCTCCAGAACTATTTCATCTTCCCGAACTGAAAACCCTTAACCCACTAGATGTCCCCATTCTCCTCTCCCTAACAGTTCCTTTCAACTACCATTCTGTATTCTGACTGTATGAATTTGCCTATTTTAGGTATCACATTAAGTGAAATTACAGTATATTTATCTTTCGGGTCTGCCATCTTTCACTAGTTACTATAAGTGTTTCATTCACAGTGTAGCAAGTGTACATTCTTTCTAAAAGTTGGATGATATTCCAGTGTGTGTACGTACCATATTTCATTTATTTTTCCATCTGTTGTTGGACAATTAGATTTGATAAACTTTAAATCAAGCTTTACATGAAAACTTGCAAAAGAGGTGATCTAAGAAATCCTTGATAATCTTATGACCATTCTATATTCTGACTCATGTTTATAAGTAGTCTCTACCGCATTATTGTTTTACTTAAATATCGTCAACATGAGTTCTCCAGGTTGCTGTTTCCTCTTCAAAATATTAAAGGCGACATAAAATCCATTGAACTTCTCTATCCAACTTACTCTGTATTTTCCTTAGAATATTGAGGTTTTAAGGATAAATTACATAAATGTAATTATGTTCTGAGTTTTATTTTATTTATTTATTCTAACTAAGTTTTAAAAATGCTGTTACAGGGACAGCTCTGAAAGACATCATGTGTAATAAGCTGTAGTGGCAAACTCATTAGCCTGAATTTCATTTGAAGCCATATATATATATATATATATATATATATATATATATATATATATATACTTATATACTGTTATACTCAACTACCTGAGTAACAGAGTGTTTAAAATCCTTTAGTAGTGAGAGATCATTAAATGAAGCAGAGCAGTACTCCTGCTCTCATTCTCACAATTTTTCCAAGTTTTCCCACAGAAGACCCAGTGTCTTGGGCACACTGAGCAACACTGGCATTTGCCCAAATGACCTTCTTCTCTAGAAGTTACGGTACACATGTTGGATGTGTGCTTCAGAAGCAGACATCGGTACCTCAGCTTGAGTTAGGGGCACTGCTCCAGAAGAGACCCTGGGCTCATCTGACAAATGGTCAAATAGCAAATCTCGTTTTCTTTCATAGAGTTAAAACTTGTGTTTTCTTCTGGCAAACGTCTGTACTTGTTGAAAGTTGGCTCTATGGGATCTGCCATAGAGAGAACTCTAGTTGAAGAACATTCTGGGAACATCTATTTATTGGATATTGACTGGAAAAGGAACCTCATCTATTGGACGAATGCTCAGGGACATCTGGTCTACTCAACTGGGTATTCTGGACAAAAGCTAGAGATCTGGACACGGCGTACTGGTAAGTAGGGGAGGGCATCTTGTTTTCCTCTCTGCTTTTATTTTTGCTTCTCAAATAACTAGGACCAAAAAAAAAATCTTTTCAAGTACTGATTTAAATAAATCTTCATGCCAGTGGAAAATCCCCACTTCTTGAAAGTTTTATCACCTCTCAATAGCACCAGAAGGTGAAGACCAACTCTTTACTTATTGAAGTGTTAACTATATCTGATTTATTCTTGCTCTTAGGAGCTATGTGCAGATTGTCAGAAAGCTACTATGACTCAGGGAATCCTAGAGCTGTAGTAATAAGGTTTTTAAATTTTTACATTTCTGGCCTTAAATCAGGGGAGGATAGAAATGGACCTTTCATTCTTCAATTTTTGCATTGCAAATTTTTCTTACATGAATTTAGAAGTAATTTGCAATGCAGATCTAAGAGTGAACTAGCAAGATATTTTCTTAATATGGTATATATATTTTCTTCCCCCTCCCACACTCCTAAATGCCACACCCCATCCCCAAGTTCCGTGTACTCAGATTAACTGTAAACATCTACTTTATAAGGGAGAACTGCGACTTGAGTTCTGTGATTAGAACTAGATTTCTGAATATCTGTCCCTTGGGTCTCTGCCAAGTGCTAAGGACAGGCTTTAGTGCAAAAGGTGCTGTATTGAAATACATATCTTAGAGTCATCCTCGGGGTAGTATATCTTACCAGAGAGCCCTGTTGGGTGACCACAAATACTGGCAGCAGCTCCCCAGTGATGTTCAGGGTTTACAAGAGAGTAACAATTTCGTTTGAGGTGTTTCTCACGTCAAGTGCTGAGTCCTTGTGTCTGTAATAGTCTTTTGTTACTGTAAACAACACCTGAGATAATCAACTTACAAAGAAAAAAAAATTAAATAAAGAAAAGAGGAAAGATTTCTTTTGGATCATGGATTTAGAGATCCCATTCAGGCAGATCTGTTGCTTTTAGGCCTCTGGTGGGGATGAGGGATGGCAATGGTGGGGAGTGCATGGTGGAGAAAAACTGTTCTCCTTGTGACCAAGCAACAAAAGAGAGCAAAATAAAGAGGCTGGGGATCCATGATTCACATCCAGGCACACCGTGACTGACCTAAAGTCCTCTCACTAGGCCCCACCTCTTAAAGGTTCCACCAACTCTCAATAGCACCGCAAACTCAAGACCAAGTCTTTGGGTGACATTCAAGATCCAAACTATATTAATAAGACCCTGTTTCAAAATTTAAAAATAAAAAATGGATGGGGGCCTGGGGATGTGGCTCAGTGGCTGAAGCTCCCTTGGTACCAAAAAAAAAAAAAAAAAAAAAAAAAAAAAAGCTCGAAGATTCTGTTTTAGAAATACAGTACCTGTCTATAGGAGCCAGGGAATATAGCTTAGTGACAGATCACTTGCCTACCTTCACAGTGTGCTGGGTCCAATTCCCAGCAACACGCACAACACACACACACACACACACACTCTCTCTCTCTCTCTCACACACACACACACACATACATGAAGTAGTGTAGCATGGCTCAAAAGAAATTCCTGATAATTGGGCTCTCAACAGAATCTACAGAGGGCCAAGGTTGAGTCTATAATTCCAGAAGAGAAGTCAATATTCTCTGGATATAACAGAACCCAACAAAGGGAAGACAGCATCTGCATCTAGGATGGCCAGTCTGTTCTTACTAATTTATCAACCTTAAGTCATTTCTCCTTTTGCAGGCAGAGTAACTTCGTGGTTATGGGGAAAACTCAGATGTGTAAGTTCCTCCCTATGACAATGTGAGGAATAGTCAGGAAATGCTCCCCCACTAAGGCCCAGTACTAGGAATGACCTGCAGCCCATCGGCCCTTTGCATTCTGGCTTCCCTCTTCTGCCCCGTAGCCCACCCTCATGCCTCGCCTGTTGGTCTTTTTCTCTGGTGGTTAACATTGGAGTTCTTCCTGTGATACCCAGGGGTGTGCTGAAAATGATAACCACCAGCTCTTCAAGGACAAGTGAACATATATACTTACATATGTTTACAATAAAACTTACTGATATAAAGGATATCAACCTACAAATGTTAAAAAACACACAATTTCTTTATTGTAAACTTTTTCCGTGGTTATTATGACTGATTTTCACAGAATGCTTTTTTTATGGTAAAGTCTTGGATCAAAAGCAATTCTGTTAGTTACAATTTAACTAAGTTTTAATAATCTTTGAATAAATGCTTGCTACTATCTGATTAGTCAATGATGTTTTTGAAGGAGTGTAGTTTCAACTTAGAGTTTGATACTTTTGTTTCCTTAGTGAAGTGATAAAGACTTGGAATTAGTTCATCAGTGACATAAATGACTTCTTTGCTGAATTGAATAATAAATTTCAAATACTAGAAAAATGTTTCCTTAATTTTGGGGGGTATTTAAAGTATAATGGCTATAGATATGACACATGCAAGATGAATCTTATAATCACTTACATTTTATTACTTTCTTAGATTTAGACTAGGATCTGGCAAACGTTTTGTGTAAGAAGGCCAGATTGTACATATTTTAGGTTTAATGGGCTCTCTCTTGTTATAGCACTGAAGTAGTCATAGACACAGTGTGAATGATCAGCAAAATTCCACTAAAACTGTATCTACAAAACCAACCAAGGAGGCCGACTTGGCCCAAGGGCACTTGTTTTTATTTTTTTTTAATTTTTTAATTTTGTTTTGTAGACCAGGGAATGGAAAACAGTCAAGCCCTGGTTTGTAGTATTTACAATTTTTACCATGTAAATACTCCCACGATGGCAGATTTCAAGCTACAATGTGACACATTATTAAATGTGGAGTTGGGAAGAGATGTGTGAGCAAACCTTTATTTAGTATCTCCACCATATGGGTACAATTGACATAAACATACAAGAGAATAGATACAAGTTGAGTGGCCCCAATCCAAAGATCTAAAATCCAGAATGTGATAAAATTTGAAAGTTTTTGAGTTCTCACAAAGTGGAATAAGTGGAAACTTTCATGGCTGGTCTGTCTGTTGACAAATTTTTTTAAATTTATTCTTTTTAAATATACATGACAGTGGAAGGTATTTTGACATATTATACATACGTGGAGTATAATTTATTCTAATTAGGATCTCATTCTTGTGGTTGTGCATGATGTGGAGTTTTACTGGTTGTGTATTCATATATGAACATAGGAAAGTTATTTCTGATTCATCATGTTTTTCCTGTTCCCATCCTTTCTTGTTTACCTTCATTCCCCTTTGTCTAATCCAATGATCTTTTATTCTTCCCTTCCCACCCCTTAATGTGTGTTAACATCCACCTACTAGAACATTTGGCCTTTGGTTTTTGGGGAGTGGCTTATTTCACTTAGCATGACAGTCTTCAGTTCCTTTCCATTCACTGGCAAGTGCCATAATTTCATTCTTCTTTCTGGCTGAGTAATGTTCCATGGTGTATATGTACACATTTTCTTTATCCATTCACCTATTGAAGGGCACCTAGGTTGGTTCCATAGCTTAGCCATCGTGAATTGAACTGCTATAAACATTGATGTGACTGTCACTGTATTATGCTGATTTTAAGTCCTTTGGGTTAAACTGAGGAGTGGGATAGCTGGGTCAAAATGATGGTTCCATTCCACATTTTCTAAGGAACCTCCATACTACTTTCCAGTATGGTTGCACCAATTTGCACATTTTCTAAGGAACCTCCATACTACTTTCCAGTATGGTTGCACCAATTTGCAGCCCCACCGGCAGTGTATGAGTGCACCTTATCCCCCACATCCTCACCAACATTTATTGTTACTTGTATTCTTGATACCTGCCATTATGATTGGAGTGAGATGAAATCTCAGTGTAGTTTTAATTTGCATTTTTGTTGGCCAATCATATTTCTTCTTCTGTGAAGTGGCTGTTCATTTCCTTTGCCTGTTTATTGATAGAGTTATTTGTTTGTTTGGTGTTCTTTTTTGAGTTCTTTATATATCCTAGAGATTAATGCTCTGAGGTGCAGGTGGCAAATATTTTCTCCTGTTCTGTAGGCTCTCTCTTCATATTCTTGTTTGCTTTGCTATGAAGAAGTTTTTAGTTTGATATCATCCCATTTATTGATTCTTGATTTTACTATGCCTGACATTTGTGGTGAGTTGTTGTCAAAGTTCAGATGCACCAAAAATATTGTATAAGAATTACCTTTTAGGCTACATGTGTAAGGCGTACATGAAACATCAAAGAATTGTGTGTTTGGAGACTAGGGTCCCATCCCCAAAGTACCTCATCATTGTAAGAAAATATTCCAAAATCCAAAACATTTGGTCCTAAGCATTTTGGATAAAATTTGCATACTCAGCTTGTAATAGTGAACTGTAGGAGAACAGTTAGAAAGTAATGAGTAGTTGTTGCTTTCAATAAATCAGTATAATTCATTTAATTGTTAATATTGAATAATCAGCTTAAATGATTTTTTAAAATTTAATAATTGGCTATTGTAAGCTTGTGCAAATCAGCTTTGTTACCTCCTGTAAAATGACAGACACTACTCTAACCTTTCGATTTGATTTGTTTTAACCCTAATTATCATAACACCTACCAAAAACACCCTATTACACATTTAAGGAAACCAAGGCATAGAAGTTAACTGACATCATGTGATAGAACAGTATGTTTTTGGTTTTGGTACTAGGGATTGAACCCATTACCATTGAGCTTAGTAGTCCTTTTATTTATTTATTTATTTATTATTTATTTATTTATGTTTTTATTTTAAGATAGGGCCTCACTAACTTGTCGAGGCTGGCTTTAAATTTGGGAATCCTCCTGTCTCAGCCTCCTGAATCATTGGGATTACAGGTGCACACCACCAAAATGGAACAGGGTTTTGAATGAGCCTATCTGACTTGCTAGCCTGATATTGCTCTCACACTGTGTGCTAAATGGCATCCCAGTATTGCTGACATACCTAGCTGAGACCCAGTTGGATAACACTATGGTGGGTGTGGGTAGGAGTAGTGAGAGTGCTTTGCAGGCTACTGCCCAACTCAGCTATCCACGTCTAAAAACAGACAGTTTGTGGCTTTTGTAGACTTGGTCCCTAGCATAACTGCGCCTTCTAGTTGTAAATTTCCTCATTGTCCATGCACTCCGTCAGTGACCTTCCATACCACTGTAGGAATCACTGTGTCACAATCTCTGCTTTCCCCTAGCAGTTTCAGTTCTGTTGACTTGACATGCAGTGGACTGATTTTCATATTAACCTCTGAGGAGGAAAGAATGTGAATCTCAAGTTGCAGACCTGCATTTAAATGTAGGCTTTGCCACTTGGACATCAAACCTACAAGAATATAATGAGTGCCTCCTTTGCCAGGTGGCTACAGGGATCTACAGAGCTCATGTGACAAGGTGCTGGAACCAGAGCATGTGTGATAAGGCTCATCATGGAAATGAGAGCTGTCAGTTTGTGAGGGACTCTCACATCCTTGCCCCAACTCTTGTCTCCTTTCTTTCCTTGACCCAGAGTTTGAGTCAGCACATTGAATAGGTTGAAAGCCCTGTATAATAGAGTTCCTTTTCCTCCTTCAGTCTGCTCAGCAAATGTAGACATATCAACAGGGCACCTGTTCTGGCTGCCTTGCGACAGAGGTGCTATCCAGAAGACCAGCATTCCTGGAGCCGACACACATACCCTCTACAGCACCAGCAGCATCATACTGCAGCTGCTTCTCGACTGGCCCAGGAGGGTGCTCTATTGGGTGGAAAGCGGGAAACACTTGCAGAGTCTAACCCTGGATGGCAAAATCAGACAGGAGGTCTGGAGAGGCACCTGGACAGCAGACACCCAGATGGCCTTAGACCTGGGCTCCGCTAGCATTCTCTGGACTACCAAAGGGTCAGGTAAGCCCTTGTACTGCCAATGCACGTGAGGAAGCACCAGGGGACAGTGAGCTCTAGACAGTCCTATCTTTAGTATAATGCTTCTAGTCATTCTTTCACATTTGTTTTCAATTTTTTTAATTAATTTTTTTTGTCTGTGCTGGGGAAATTCTTTTTTGTTTTTAATTGACACACAATAATTGTACATATTTATGAAGTGCAGTGTGACGTTCTGACACATGTATGCAATGTGCAGTGATCAAATCAGGGTGCATCTGTCACCTGGAACATTTATCGTTTCTTTGTGGGGAGAACACTTGAAGTCCTCTCTCCTAGCCATCCCAGTTATTTCAAGAACTAGGTAGACACAGAATTTGTCTGTGTCTACCTAGTTCTTGAAACTGGGAATAGAAGTTTGACAGTTAAAGCATGGATAGTCACCTCAAATTTGCCTCTGATCTAAAAGTGTAGTTTGGGGGAGGGGGATAGTAGAGGATAGGAAAGACAGCAGAATACAACAGACACTAGTATGGCAGTATGTAAAAAAGTGGATGTGTAACCGATGTGATTCTGCAATCTGTATACGGGGTAAAAATGGGAGTTCATAACCCACTTGAATCAAATGTATGAAATATGATATGTCAAGAGCTTTGTAATGTTTTGAACAAGTAATAATAAAAAATAAATAAATAAATAAATAAAATAAATAATCCCCCCCCACAATAATAAATAAATAAAATAAATAAAAGTGTAGTTTGGGGATTTAGAAGATGGAAAACCTCAGAAATGACATACTTAATAACTTTTAAAATATACTTTGAATAGCTGTTTGCCGTGTCCAGGATTCACTTCTACTTCATTAAGTAGAAGTAATGAAACCAAAGTCCCATTGCCAATGAGGGCCAAGGGTTGCAGCTGTAACTTGGAAACAAGTACAGGTTATATCTGTGTAGCTGAGTTTGCTCATTTTCTTCCCCCGGAGTCTGTCCGTGAGGTCAGCTACATGCTGATGGCCAGGAGTTTTTAGTATACATGGAAGCAGCAAAGTCACATCTGACGTTCCCTCATGGCAGGACAAAGCCCCTCGCTTTCCAGGAGCTTAAAGCACCTCATTAGTCTATCTTTACATATAAAATTAAAATCTAGAAAACGTGATACGAAGAGTATGTGATTCTTTATATTTGGGGTTTTTGAACCTCAATCTGACAGCACATGTGCACCTCACCCAAGCATTCTGTGGTGACAGATCACTTGTTCAGCATCCGCTTCTAAGACCTTGGCTCTTCCTTAGGGTTGCAAAGTCTGAGTCTCCTAAAAAATAGAACGTACTCTTTGAACAAGTCCTGGAGTGATGGGCTCATCGCGGCCCATGAGCCCTACCTGGTGACGGTGGACCAGGCAGCTCTTGTGCTGTGGAACAGGAAGACGCTGGAGCCCTTCTCAGTGCTGAAGGAATCATACGTAAAGAAAATGATCATCTTGGCAGAGAACCAGGAGGTGCCGGGTGAGTCCTTCTTTGGTCTGGTTATTCTTTGACTCCGCTTCACTGGACCCTTCCCATTGTTGTGCTTTTCTAGGATCCGATCCTGGGTGCTTGTACATGTGCACGGGCAGTTGTCTCCAGCCACAGTTCAGCAGGCTGTCTCCCTAAGGTCTCTGTGTGTTGGAAACACAAGAATCCAACCCATTTCTTCAAGTTCCTTAATGACATAAGTCTCTTAGCAATATTCAAAGAAGGGTGCAGGCCATCACCCCTTTTGGAAGTCATCTTGCACATCAGCATATTCAAGCCTTTTTGGTACTTAAAAAAAAAAAAAAACATTTAATTTGCTCTAAACCAGTTTCCCAAACTTATTTATCAAAGAAACCATTCTTTCCCTCCATGGAACTGAACCAGGCACCCTTAATCACTGAGTCACATCCCCAGCCCTTTTTTTATTTTTATTTTTTTTATTTTGACACAGTATCTCACTAAGTTGCTTAGGACCTTGCTAGGTTGCTGAGGCTGGCTTTAAACTGGCAATCCTCCTGCCTCAGCTTCCAGAGCTGCTGGGATTACAGGGGTGTGCCACCATGCCTGGCTAAGTAGTATCTCAAAGGGGACCCTCTGTGACACTCCTTTAAGGTTGTGGATGCAAGTTGAGTTTCCCTTGTCTGAAATATTTGAGACACGTTTCAGATTTTGATTTTTTTTTTGAGTTTTGTAATGTTTGCATATAACTAATATTTTGGGGAAGGTACCCAAGTCTAAACACAAAATCCAGTTAACTTTATATACATCTTATGCACATAGCCTGAAGATAATTTTTTAAATTATGTTTAGTGCTCCTGCATTATGACTATGACCTGTCCCATGAGGACAGGTAGAGAATTTTCTACTTGTGACATCGTGTTGGCACTTACAGGGTTGTAGATTTTGAAACATTTTGGATTTCAGATTTTTTGGATTTGGCATGCTCAACTGGTACCAGGAAAAACCGTGCTCTTGCTTTTATTGAAGTTGTGTCAGGGTTATTTGAATGAATCTGCTTAAGGTTGCTTTCCTTTCTTTTTCTTTTGAAAAATGTTGTTGGCACAGAGCCCCCGCCCCTTCCCGCCACACACACAAAAAAATCTGATCTTGAATCACAAGGCAGGAAAAGAGGAAATTCATATCACAGGCGTCATTGTCATTGTTAGCAGATGTAGCTGGATGTCTTGAAGTGGAAACACAAAGGACAAATGCATTCCTTCTGTATACCCGATCTCATTCTGTCCTCCCATTCCCCTCCTCTGTCCAAACTGCCTTACTTTTTCTTTTTTTAAAGATGTTGATGGACCTTTATTTTATTCATTTATTTATTTGCGGTGCTCAGAATTGAACCCAGTACCTCACACATGCTAGGCAAGCGCTCTACCATCAAGCCACAACCCCAGCCACCGAACTGCCTTACTTTTTGACTCACTGGTTGGTTACGCCTGATTTTAAGAGTTAGAAGCATTAGGCATAGGGACAGATTTCTTAGGTGGTGAAGTGTGCCAGTAAAGTTGATTTTCTGTAACAAATCCAATCTTTATTATTCAAACAAATCTGTTCAGTTGCTACAATGGTTGCTGAAGAGCACTAATGATAACTTTTAGGATTGTAATTAATGCTTTTCAGCAAATGAGGACCCATTATATGCTGGCCCTTGTTCAAGACCACAGGATGCTATAGCAGGAAAGCAGAAGGACAGTTATGCCTCACTTAATGATAGGGATATCTTCTGAGAATGTGTAATGTTAGTGATGTCGTCATTATATTAACATCATATAACGTACCTACACAAGCCCACAAGCCCAGATGGAATAGACCATATACACCTACTGTACATATTTTTATGTGCTAGACTTTGTTTTTTTTTAACCCAAGGCACTTAACCAATGAGCCCACATCCACAGCCCTTTTTTATTTAGAGACAGGGTATCACTAAGTTGCTTAGGGCCTCACTAATTGCTGAGGCTGGGCTTTGAACTTGCCATCCTCCTGCCTCAGCCTCCAGGGCCACTGGGGTTTCAGGCATGGACCACAGTGCCCAGCTGGGCTAGACTTTTATATGACTGGCAGCATGGTAGAATTTTTTTTTAAACACCAGTATCGTTACAAACACATGAGTAATTCGTTGTGCTTGACATGAGAACAGCCTCAACTTTATATGATGTTAGTGACATCACTGAGTGCTAGGAACTTTTCAGCTTTATTTTAATCTTATGAGATTATTGTCATAAGTGAGACTGTTGTTGACTGAAATGTCAATCATACTACACATAACTGTACTTTTTATTCCTCAGACTGGAATAGAGTAGCAGATAGTGAAAAAAATTAAGGTTAAAGTTTTTAGACTGGCAAGAAGAAAACAATTTGCCCAAATTCAAAGCCAGTAGATAATGATCTAACGTACCACTCTTAATCTAAGGATGTAAATTCGAGGCAGTTTCACTTTTTATTCTTATGAAGTAGAAAAATGTTGGTACTCAGCCATGACATGTCTTTCTGGAAGAGGGGGACAATAGGAGCATGCCCCAATTGCTGAACCATACCAGCCTGACTTGCTGAAGCAGTGGTTTGCTCTAGATCCTGAGATTGAAGGAGCCACAATGGTCCCTCCTACTCTTCCTCCTCCACCACCTCTACTATGCACCCGGTCCTCTGTTCCCTGTCGGGATGGGAAGGAATGTATTTCTCGGGAGTCCCTCTGTGACGGCCAGCGTGACTGTCAGGATGGCTCCGATGAAGAGAACTGCTCCCAGCTCTGCCACAAACCAGGTCTGTCACCCTCTCCTGTCCTCAGTGTTTTGTGCCAGGTACTCTGAGTTGGCTTTGAGCGTGCCATGAATTGTCAGAGTGTTGACTTGACCAGAGTCATGCTGACTTTCCCTAGGCAGATTTGCATAGATGAAAGCCACAGCCTGTCAGGATTCTGATTCTGTGAGTGCCCATTTTACCACATTTAAGCCACGTGCTAGACTATTACTTCCTTGCTGCTTCAAATTTTCTAAGTGTTCCAATCTGACCTAAATGGCCCACTTTTAACAGAGGTGGTCTTACAAGTCATCAGAGTAACCAAACACGAGGCTTTAAATGACCTAGCTTAGCTCGCTGGTTTAGTTGACCTGAGCACGTTATGAATCAATTAGATATTAGAACTCAGATTAAACAAGATGAAGTCTGTTTGCACCTCAGATTCCAGAATGAGAGTGAATTCATCTCAGTTTGGACCTTCTGTCTGACTGTGCTACTCTGGCATTTTCCATTTAAGGAGTCTTCCAGTGTCTGGATGGAAGAAGGTGCATAGAGGAGAAATACCACTGCGATGGGGCTCAGCACTGCTTGGATGGGTCTGATGAGCTCAGCTGCTGGAAGCCTGTCGAAGAGTGTTCTCTGCGCTGTGACAACAAGACTCGCTGCATCCCTAAGAGCTGGCTATGTGATGGAAACCCAGACTGTTCTGACAAGAGAGATGAACAAGGATGTGGTAGGTTTCAACGGGCTTCCTGAAAGTATTTTAAACAGTATTAGAGTTGCTGCTGCTTTTTCATAGTAGGTAGGTTCTAAATGAGCAGATATGGAACCATCCTCATTCCTGGAAGTAATGCCAGGTTGGGTACCTATAGAGCCTCTGGTCACAATGTTTTTATCAACTGACTGATACTTAGCCTCTTTGCATATGTATTTCTGTTGAAAGGTGTCATGATATCTGTTGTTGATTCATCAGCATTGAGCTCACAACACTGCCATTCAGCCCTTAACACAGCTTACCTAATACAGGTATTTCTCCTTAAAGCAAGTCACAGCTATCTTGTGCTCAGGAACATTAGACAGCATTTCAGCCCTGTGCTAGGAGGCCATTCAATAGAAAAATCACCAAAATGAGACTAAATAGACTGCAAAAAGTACACTTATAGTTTAAGAGCCAACATAAGAATGCCCCAGTGCGTCTATTTGACCTCTGCTGGGAACTTGCACATTGAGTGACTCAAATTTCTTGCCACTATGCATGTGTCTGCAGATGACATGAGAGTATGGAAGTACTGACCTGAGGTTACAAAGAAAGTAAGTAGTTGAATGTGCAAATACTGAATCCAAAAATGAGGATCATTGACTCTCTTTTCTACAGATGTAACAGACTAAGATAAAAGATCTTGAGGTAGAGGGATCTTAGAGATCAGCCCCAATGCCCCCCTCTATTACAAGACCATATAGTGGGAAATCCATCTATGCTCCAAAGTTCCTTTATGTTGAGTTAGACTCTGCCTCCTTGAAGATTTAAATTTTGGTCTCAGCTTCCGCCTTGTGGGATCGTGTAGAAGAGAAAATTGGGAGAATCTAAGTGGGAGGAGGGAAGCTGGGTAAGCTACTATGTTAGTCAGCCTTCTGTCCTTGTGACCAAGCTACTGGACAAAGAACAACTTAGAGAAGAAATGTTTATTTTGGGCTCATGATTTCAGAGATCTCAGTACATGGTTGGCTGGCTCCATTGCTCTGAGCATGAGGTACGGCAGAACCTCATGGCAGAAGGATGTGGTGGAGAAAAGCTGCTCAGCTTGTGGCAGTCAGGAGGCAGAAACACCCTGGCTTTGATCCTTTTGAGTTTCTAGGTTGAAGGCGTGTAAACTAGTTTCCACCTATCAGACCCACCCTTGTGAGACTTGGATAGTGAAGTGTGCAGTGTGAGGTGGGAACCATTATGTGGACATCAATATTCCTTTTTATTTTGTTTGTGTGTGTATGTTTTGTTTATTTTTATAATATTGGGATTGAACCCAGGGGTACTCTACCAAGTTTTTTTAAAAAATATTTATTTCTTAGTTTTACGTGGACACAATATCTTTATTTTACATTTATGTGGTGCTGAGGATCGAACCTCATGCTTGGTAGGCAAGCACTCTACCATTGAGCCACAATCCCGGCGCCTAGAAACAGTTTTATAATTCTAACAAATTTTATAATTCTAACAAATTTCCATGGTCCATAATATGGGAAGTACAGAAAAAATTTATTAGAGAATAATTTATAAAGTAAAAATCATGAGTTTCACTCAAAATGTGCACGTGTCAAATATTGTAATTCAATATTTAAGGAGAAAAATACTATGATGTTAAAAGCAGTTCAAAAGGACAACGCAAAGAACACATACATAAGGCAAACAGCAATGCTAACATGAATTTACAAACCAATGTTAATTAACTAGTCAGTATTCATCGGGCAAATGATCAATTATATTCCATCTGGACAAACTCATTTGCATACTATGGACAAAAATAATTTGAACTATTACAGGTTTTCTACAATTTACAGAGGTGTGAAATAGCCCAAAGCCAAGGAAAGGCCAAAGGACCCTATAGGGTTAGATAAACCTGCAAAGTGCGCCATAAAGGACACTCAATAATCCTCCCCGCCCCGCTGCTTTTTCCCACCTCGAAGTCTTCCACGATGCTGAAAACAAACAAACAAAACCCCCAAATCCTTTGTAACTCCTCAATTCAGAAACACCCTGGCTTTGATCCTTTTGAGTTAAACTTAGTCGGGAAGGCGGAGCATTTACTAAACAACTTGATTGCAACATTTTTGGGCGCGCTTCTCGCCTAGGGCTTCTTCGGTGCACACCTGTCCCGCGCATCCCAGGCAGCTGGGCGCGTACGGTGCCGCGCACTCAGCAGCTAATGGCCGCAAGTCGACTGCGCAGAACTAGGGGATCATCGGAAAGCAGCTGAGAGTGCAGGGAGAAGCTAATCTGCAGGGGGCCAAGCAGTGACCAAAGAAAACTTTCAGAACTGAGATCCGCTAAAAACCCGGGAAACTGCGCAGCAACCAAGACCCGTGGTGCTACGGCGGCGTCACCGCCCCTTTCCTTCCCCGCCCACGGCCTGCCAGGCCCCAGCCTGGAGCCAGGGGCGGGGCGACCTTTGCTCAGTCCAGGAGCCATCCCAGCCGGGCGGGGTCAAGCGGTCTGGCTGAGGGCGGGGTGTCCGAATCTCCCCGAGTCCGAGGTCTCAGAGTGCCAGGTGGCTCCGGAGCTTCTCGCGCTCACCTCCTGCCCCTCCCACCCAGGCTGGGTTTGGCCACCCAGTCCCGCACCTGGATCCGCGGTTTCGGTCAGACCCGCCCGCGAACTGGTTTCGATTGGGGACAGGAGCGGGGCGGGAGGGCGGAGCGGCCAGGATGCGAGGAGGGGACTAGGGCGAGCCACGGAGTGGGGACAGACCCGTGCGGGAGACAAAGAGCGGCCGGAGAGAGCAGGGCGCAGCGCCACGACCCAAGGAGGCGCCCGAGCTGACTTCGGGGGTCAGAAGCCGGAGGAGCTTCAATACAGAAGGCAGCAGGAGAGCCGTCGTGCGGCGGGAGCTCCCCGGGATGCGGACGCCGGTGGTGATGACGCTGGGCATGGTGCTCACGCCCTGCGGGCTGCTGCTCAACCTGATCAGCACACTGGCCCCCGGCTGGCGACTGGTAAAGGGCTTCCTCAACCAGCCGGTGGACGTGGTGCTGTACCAGGGCCTGTGGGACATATGCCGTGAGCAGAGCAGCCGTGAGCGCGAGTGTGGCCAGCCGGACCAGTGGAGCTACTTCGAGGCCCAGCCGGTGCTGGTGGCGCGGGGACTCATGATCACGTCGCTGGCCACCACCGCCGTCGGGCTGCTGCTGGCGTCGCTCGGCGTGCGCTGCTGGCAGGAGGAGCCCCAGTTCCTGCTGGCGGGCCTCTCGGGCGTAGTGCTTTTTGCCGCGGGCCTCTTCAGCCTCATCCCGGTCTCCTGGTACAATCACTTCTTGGGGGACCGCGAAGTCCTGCCCGCCCCGGCCCAACCGGTCACTGTAGAGGTTAGCTATAGCCTGGTGCTGGGCTACCTGGGCAGCTGCCTATTGCTGTTGGGAGGCTTCTCGTTAGCGCTCAGCTTCGCGCCTTGGTGCGAGGAGCATTGTCACAGCTGTCGCAAGGCGACCCCAGCCGGGCCGCGCCGCAGCAGCATCAGCACAGTCTACGTGGACTGGCCAGAGCCCACACTTACACCGGCCATCAAGTACTACAGCGAGGGCCAGCACCGGCCGCCACCCACCGAATACGGTGCCACTCGCAAGCCCAAGGTCGGTTTTCCCATGCCGCAACCGCCGCCCAAGGCTTACACCAACCCGGTGGACGTGCTCGACGGGGAGGGGGGAAAGGCAGCCACCTCCCAGGGGGCATCCTCACGCAGCACCCGGCCCTGTCACAGATCGCTGCCCTGCGATTCTGATCTGTAGACCTCACCTCCTCCTTCCACCTGCAAGGCGGAGACCCTGGGCTTGGGAATGCCTGCACCATTCTACCTTGAACTTGCCAGCTGAGAAGCAGTCTGACTGGGGATTGGAACCCCATCACCTTCCTGAAACTGGTTGGAAAGGCGATCTTCCTTTACTGTGACCAAACTAGGCTCTTTGGCTCTTTGGACGTTTAGTTCAGGTTAGGACAGTTTTTTGTTTGTTTGTTTGTTTTCAGAATTTCATTTTTCTTTGCTGAAGGAGAGAAAGGTATTGTTTGTATCGTGTTAACAACCAGGGACAGTAAACAACAAGAAAAAGTTGAAATCAACAAAAAAAGAGGCTCAAAACTGGTTTAAGTGTAACTTGAAACTATAGTATTCTAACACTAATGAACTGGTTTAAGTGTAACTTGAAACTAGAGTATTCTAACACTAATGAATCTTGGATCAGTATAATCATTGCATTTTATTTTTCCTTTGCTTTTTAACTTCTTGTCATGCCGACTCTGGAAAGGCCAGTGTATTTCTGGTTGTGTATGAACCCAGGCTCTTTAAGAGTCATGAAAATGCCAGCAGCTTTAGTGGCTTTTATTGAACAAAATAATCTGGGTAACTCATGCGTACATCTCTTCTTGTGTAGATAGGATTTATCATTTTTATCACTTGTTTTGGTGTGAAAGGTCATTCAAGAGCTTCTCTTCCAGAAGCAAGGTAAATGAAGGCATGCACACAATACTGTTTTCTTCCTTGAATACCTCACCCTGGACACAGAAGACTCTAGATT